GTCTTTATATACTTTCTGATTATACCCAAAACCAAAATCCTTCTTTTATTTCAGCTGCTATACCTCTTAAAAATTACCTTTGTACTTCTGTTGACGTCTTAAAGAATTATTTCAGTTGCCTTCTTAAACACTGCTATAGGTACACAGTTATATATATTACATGCAGTTATAGAATTTAGTAGAAATTGAAAATAAGTAAATGGTCAGACTGAAGATTTCTTAGTTTTCCTATCACACAGCTATGTCACAGCTTGTAACCATTTCTTGAATGTGAAATACATACAAGTGTGTTCCTACTTTGTTTATCTAGGAGAAATGCGGACTTAGGTTTTCGCCGAGGTATTGCAAGATTTGTGTTTCTACTAACTCACCCCATGGTTTGCTTTCAAATCTACTTTGGTTCTTTTTAACTCTTACAAACCTCTAGCTTAATGGAAATTAAAGAAAAACATGTTACAGGTACAAATGAAGGTGGACTTCAAGGCCTACATATGCTAGGCACCGGGCATATGCACAGAACATACAGAAGTGATATCAAGCCCTTGACAAAGTTGAGAGACGTTACTATAGTACTTGGATATAAAAGAACTTAATTAAGGAATTCTGTGTGGGATTAATCTGGTTCCTGAAATAACATTACATTACCACCACATGAATTCATTTGGGATGTTGCATCATGCGTTACAAGACGTAAATTACCATTCCAGGTGGGAAGCCATATGTACATAGCAAAATGTCCTGATAGAGAAGGGTGAAAGAAAGAAATTAACTCCTGTTCTGTTACCCTCTCCTAGCTGAGAATTCATCATTTTTGTATGAACTGCACTCTTGGAGTTACATGCCATTCCGCTTGAGGTTGAGCAGGAGCACTTAGAGGAGCCACATGAAACCACTTCTTTTCAGAAAGCAAAGCTAGTCTGTGGTCAGCAGGACTGAGGTCTGATTCCGTGCCTTCTGTCACCTGAACTCCCCAATAAGTCCCTTCCCTCAGTGCTTATCTCTTTACTGGTCATGCCAGTGCAGCAGATTTAGACCCTGCTATTGGGTTTAGACCCAGTGTGTATTCAGCTTCAGAGCCACTGTAAGCCATGCTGGGTGAGTAGCTAGACGGGCTTAGAGAGGACAAAGAGCTGAGTTTAGAAATGGGAGTTCGCTGGGGCTTTCACTGGTTTTGTTGTTTTTTCTGGGGGGTTGATGGTTTTGGTTGCTCCCCATCCCGCTCCCACCCCTGATTTTTATGAGCCTGGTAGGATCTTTTTCTTCCAGTTGACTTCAGTTGAGAGGATTCAATGTTTTTGGAAGTTTTATATTTGTAAAGATGAACAAACAGGTAAACAGTCAAACAGACACTGTGGCTGTCTTAAAGTGGGAATGTTTTCCAACTGCCTCTTTTATATGGAAATTATTACTGAGCCTTTAATATTGATTTATGTATTGAAATTATCAGTGGAACAATATTAAGTGACTTTTATTTCACAAACAAATGCCTTACAGATTATGTCGTGTATTTCTTCCTTTAAGAGAAGATTATCATCTTCTTTATGGATGTTTTTAATGGTTTTGTGAACATTTAGAATTTCAGCACTTGGAATAAGTGGCATTATCAATCATACATATAAATTCTCTGATTTTTCTTGTGCTCCCAATTTACAAAACAAAAAAAAAGCCTCAGCTTTTCTCCTGGATGGAATGAATGTTAAAGCACACAGAGGCTGCAGTCACATCTAAACTTTTGAACTGCAATTTTTATTATTTTGCTCTTTAGAGAGCGTGCCTCATTTTATAGAATGGATAGCAACAGTTTAGCGTGTCCTAATGTCCTTTGGGAGCAGTGCTGTGCTCAGACAGATGAGGAGTCATCTGAGTTTATGAGAAAGTAGTCACAGTCTAGCTGTGGAAATCTGTCTTTGTGCCACCAGTGTTTTTCATGTTCTATAGAACTGTCTCTGGGTACTCAGTATACTGTCCCCAAAATGGAAAGCATAAACAATTGTGATTTTCAATATTTTCTCGATGTTATTTCACTGGTAGCTCAGTTTCAGTGTAGCATTGCCTCACAATCTTTTTTTATTAGAAGTTAAGGCTATGTAAATTCTCCTCTGTGTCATCTGTCTAGAAGAGTGTGGGCTGGATCCATGTTCTGTGCACTCTTCAGCTAATAAGGAAATCGCTCTGCACGCTAGCATTTCACCATCATTCTAGGAAGTCACATTTATAAATCCCCATGCAGGAGAATAAAATCTTTCCTGGCTATTGATTGCAAGGCTGTTAGAGCCTTAATAATAACTTCCAGTTCAGCACTTCCTTCCCTTTACCTCTGGTATCTTTGAGCTATGCGCCATAAAGGGCAATCAATGCTGCCAATATCAGACCATTTTGATACAATTTCCTAAAAAGTTTAAATGAGAAATTATCAAATAAGGAGGGTTTTGTCATTATATCTTGAAATGTAAAGCAAGTAAAGAACTATTAACTGTTAATATATATTGTGTGTATATGTGTATGTTTACATGTAGAGATACTTCATGTATGTATATGCTTATATATAATAACACATTTATTATTTTATATGGTGATTCTGCTTCCTTGAATATTAGTAGGAATTCTGTGGTGATGTTCTTTCCTACCAAAAGTCTAAGTGACTGTATATCTTGATAACTCCTGACTGAAAAGTAAGGCTTCATGTACTTACAGAAGCCTTCAGGTTTGACAGCAAAGCATTGATTCCAAAATAACCAAATGTATTCTCATGGCCTGATATGAAGGAAGCAGATTTATGTAGTCCTGTAGACAGTTACATTACTTCGTTTCAATTTCTTATTTTACTGTATTTGAGTTTTAAATTTTTGAACTAAAATAGTTACAGGAGACAGTACCATGTTCAGAGAGTTGCCATCTATAGAATGTGTAAAGCTGTAACTGTGAAATTTAGCAGAAAACTAGCATGGGCTGTCTAATATATTGCCAGGATGCCACAGTCAGATTCAGTTGTCCTTTTGTCTGAATGCTGTTTACTTGGGTAGTAAGTATGAAGCAGGAATAACTAATACTTAACATAAGCCACACAAAAATTTCATTCTTGTGGTTTGTCAAAAGACTCCAGATATGCAGGCACTGTAAGCTGTAATGCAAGCTAAGTGGTATTCTCATTTACCTTCCTTTTCATGTAACTGCCCAGCTAAAAGGCACTTTAAAAGATAAAACTGCTTTGTAATACCTTTTTATTTTTTATAATCTGGCATTTTGAGAACTCTAACCTTTCTTTTAAAATCTTATAATGGAAGTACATAATATCATACTAATTACACCATTTTAGCAATTACCTTTTCAGGAACATGTATTTACAATAATCTTAAAGTGAAATGTCACAGTATAATCATGTTTCATACTCTTGGGTGTTTGATCCCATGTACATCCCACTGTGAATCCGTCAAAGAAATTCTACCAGCATGGATTGATTGATCCACATATGTCTTAAAAGTCTGTCTTGTTCCTTTCTGATGGTGTAAAGGCACACTCGTCATTGGGAAGATGGACCATGTCAACACTGTCCAGTTGTCTTCAGTTGTGAAGTGTGTCTGTGGCTTCTGGCTTGCAGGCATCATAGTGCCATTGAATTTTAAACTGAAGATCCTCCTTCAGTTTGGCAGAAACAACCGGGGCAACCTGCACCCCCAGCACAAGTGCTTGCTGGGGCTCAGCAGAGCACTTGCACAGCTCTTAGCTGATGGAAGAACAGAGAGCCCATGGCAGCAACAGTCACAGATGCTCTTACCCAGCTGTGGCCAAGGCATCCTTGTTCTTGCAAGCCGTATAGAATCCGTACCCCTTCACTTGCTTTCGCACCTCATAGCTTGAGGTAGAGGATGCTTTCCTTTGGGTGCGTGCTATGAAATGAGATTTAGATGTGCAAATGTCAGAAAAGAGTGAAGAAGCTTGCTCACTTTCTTAAAACAAAAGAAAGAAAGACAGAACACAAAGAAAGGTGGTGTTCCCAAAAGAATATGTGGTTGGTATGGTCAGCCTTGAATGTGTCCTTTTTTGCCTCAATTTCTGAGCACATAGTACGGTAAGCTGTTGTTTAAAATTAAATATCCTTTCCCAAATTCTCTTGCAGACCACTTGCCAGTCCTGAAACCCATCCATCTTCATATAGACCACCACTGTATATTTCTGCACCAGAGCCTGTTCTGCAAGGCACATTTCTGTACCTTACTTTTCGTGATAATGTAGGTCTTTGAAGTTTTTTCTTGAAGACAATCAATTCTCCAAAATATGTTGAAATAGGTCTCCAAATGAATTCATTCTAATATGTTTGAGAATCACCACAGCAGGAAAAAGCATTTGAAGAAAAACTGCTGTCAAAATAGCTCAATTAAGAATATTAAAGAAATTGTACTCACCTATATAGTAACTACGGTCCTTCAGAATGGATTGTCCCTGTAGGTTTTCCTGTAAGCAGTCATCTTTGTCTCTTTTTTTTCTTTCCCCTTTTTTAAAAATTTATTTTCTCTCTTGTTATTTACTATATTCTGGAGAGAATCCATAGTAAAAGTAAATACTCAGAGTGGTAGTGGATTCTGCACTTTTTTGTACTCTTGGTGACATAAATCTTGTGTGATTGCGGAAGGAGTGGGTACTGCTGGCAACAGTTCCCATCTCTCAGGCACACCTGTGTAACAAGGCACACAGGGCTGCTTGTCTTGGAGACCCCCCAGGTACTGTGCAGAAAAATAACCTTTCCTGAGCATCTCTCTGAAGCACTGGGAGAGTAGTTTAGAATTCATTTACGTTATATAGTTTCACTAAAAAATGCTGGAAATCGTGTGGGTTTGGTTGAAATACTTCCAATGCAGAGGATATTCAAATCCAGATTTTCCTGTCTTTTGTATTTTCTGTGGTTATATGTAGTGTTTGTCATACAGTGCTTATAGAGTTCCTTTCACTTCTTAAATCACAAGGTGGTTTTTACAACATGGTTCTTTGTCTTCTTTTTGTAGGCATTTCCTATTTAAACATGGATCTGGGTCTTCAGCTATCTTCAGCGCAGCCAGTCAGAACTATCCTTTAACATCCAATACTGTTTACTCTCCACCTCCTAGGCCTCTTCCTAGAAGTACCTTTTCCAGACCTGCCTTCACTTTTAACAAACCTTACAGGTGTTGCAACTGGAAGTGCACTGCTTTGAGTGCTACTGCCATTACAGTTACCCTGGCACTGTTGCTAGCCTACGTTATCGGTAAGCCTCTCTTTCTTTTCTATGCTGAATTATTCTTTACCTTTTCTATTCTGTTGTCTTGCGTATCTTTACTTTACACTAATACAAATCATGTTTACTAATAATGTTTGCCGCTGGTTGCTTTGTACATGCTGGTGAACAAAGTGCTAGGTTGGCCAGAGGTTGAATACAACATGGAATTCTCATTAGCTTTCTACTCTGTTAACCTTTGTGCTGCCTAATAGACAAAGAAATATTACTCAAGATGACATGTTGATACTAACAGAGGACTCCTACTGATTTTAATTGCTGTGATATTTTTCTTAAATTAAACATCTGATTTTCATATTAAGCCTTACAGCTTTGTTGCTCTTGAAGAATTATATGAAGACTAATAATGCTTAATTGTTTTTTTGCTTTGCTACCTTTATTTCATTTCTTCAGTCTGATCACAATTCATATCTTTCATTTTTTCCTCTTGATTCTTACATCATTGGCTAGAATGACAGCGAGCTCTAAAAATGTGGTACTTTACACCATGTTTTCTATTTTGCTGTCCCTTTATTGAATTTCTGTTTCAGAAAAATGTTACATAGATTAAAATGCAGTTACTTAATTTTAAACTCGTCTTTTAAGTATCTGACTTTCCAATTTTGTTACCGTGATAAATTGGCAGGAATTATCAGAGTAGCTAGAAATGCCTTCCTTTTTCTTTGAAGATAGATATGTTGGAGACGGGCTTGCAGTGTGCATGGGAGAGTAAGTGCTTGTGACTTACTAGATGACATTTTGGCTGAATATTAATTATCAATTTGGTTTTTCAATCTGAATTGAAAACATTGCACAACATTCAGTATATGTAGAATCTTAGAATGCAACTGTGGCTTCTGAAAAAATAAGAAAATCTCATTAATTTTTGCTTGTGCAAGGCACATTCTCACACACACTTTTGGTTTGTTGACTTAGTTGCCAATTCGCAAGTGGGCAGGAACCAGAGAATTCCCAACGTATTATAGCTTGGGTGGGAATAACTCTGGGTTTGCCCAGATCAGTGGTTTGTACTTGGTAAAATCTATACAGGAGGCAACAGGTACAGTTGTCTCCAACCTTACAAGTGGCCACTGGCTTTCTGTATTCTCTGAATAAATGTCTTTATAGTGAAAATTATTACAATTCCAGTTATTTTTGGTTTCTAATGGGTTGAGAGGTTTTTTGTCCTATAATGACAAAGTTCTGGTTACTGTCAGCGAGATGCTCATCAGGAGGGTTTTTTCTAATATCCTCATCTAATGCATATGGGAAAGCAGATTTGATTGTTTCTGGTGTATGGTTATTTAAAAGCACCTGAGGATCTAGTAAGCTACATTAATTGCAGATTTACATAACAGCTGTTGAGCATATGCCCTCAGTTAGGACTGGCTGTATAATTTTTGCAGCCTCATCTGTTTGCTACATCGATATCCCACCCACACCATTTACATTTTATTTGGGTGAAGCTCTGCCTGGTTCATCCCTGCTTAGATTTCAGTCTGCTGCTGAGAATTTTTTAAGTTTCTAATGATATTCTGCTGCATGTCATCAGCTCAAGAAGGCTGTAAGCACTCCCTGTCACTGTGATTAAAAAGCTCTATGTGAATTTCCCATAGAGGTGTCTGTGTTTGTGTAAACCTGGTAACTTAAGGGTTTAACATGTTTTCTTTAGTTAGGCTGAAGTAGGTAAAATGAAGATGTCTTTGTATTTTATAAATTATTAGTGTTTCTAGTTATGTTTTCTATAGCAAAATCTAAAACTCTTTCTGAACTAGAATTCCTGGTTCAGTTTTCTAAGATGCTGTTGTTTGCTCTTGTTTGCCCCAGAACATTTTCAGTTTTATAAGGTTTCCTGCAGATTCAGATAGTAATAATTTGTTCCACATTAATATTTATACTGCCCATTTCTGGTTGGTTAAATATTTAAATAAGTTCATGGTCTGTTCTTACGAGTCACGTACCTTTTGTTAGGTATGAATAATAACATATAAACTATTTTCAAAGTTCACTTCCTCTGTCGGCCTTCAGATTTGCATATCTTTTCGTGTCAGAAATGTAAATGTGTGTGTTTTAAATAGGAGTAGTTGAATATAAAAAAATAAGACTCTGAAGTAACACTCTGGAGTTAAAGTTCAAACACCACCACCACCCCCAAAGCATTTCCTCTTTTCTCACCATAACTGAGGTCCCTCACTCCTCACTCCAGGCAGGTTTTCTTCAAGTGGTGACTTGCTCAATTATGTTTGAGCAATGACCACAGACTTGGCCCCAAATTGCAAAACAAAACACATTTTAATTTCAGGATCAAGCTTAACCTGGAATCAGCTCAGTGGTTGTTACTGGAAGAGTAAGAGAGGCTTTGTAAGGCAAAACTATTTTCATCATTGTATTTTATGGTGTAGTCTGCATCGACTTATGATGACCTGCAATTTCAGGCCAAATGAATGTAGATCAGAATTTAACATCAAGCTTTTTCTTCTCCTTATCTCAAAACTTTAATGTACTTTGTCAATTATCTTGTACTGCCGTTAGGTGCATGACCTACACATTACTGCCAAAAATAGGCCCAAATCTGAACCTCAAGTCAGAACTTTCTAAAAGTCTTGAAAACTCAGTTTATTCCAGATGAAAAATTTACAAGTGGCTCTTACATTTGCAATGAACTGAGACCTGTGCCAAGGTGCTCTGAGCTGTGATGTCTTTTCAATCAAAAGGTAAAGTAGCGAAATGTTTTTCAGTCTTTCCCTATTATCAGAGAGACTCAATAGAGAAGCTTTTACTTGAGAACACGTACTTCTGTATTTTCTCTCCTTTGAATTACTACTCAGTTAGAAAACCTATTTTTTCTCCATGTTTCCACATTTGGCCTATAATCACCATGTTTATTATCTGGTCCTTTCTGAAATAAATTTGACTATTCTGTGGATGGTAAGGAAATTATAGAACCCTGTAAATGGTTGTGTAGCAGCTGCTTTATTGAAAATCTTTAGTCATAATATTTAGTTTATCAAGTAAAACATATTTTCACTTCAACAGGAGTAATTTCTGTGAATAGCTTCTAAAGTCATAGTAGTTACTCAAAAAACCCTCTAATTTCATAAAGTGGATGTTTGGTCTCCACACTGTAAACGTATTGAATTATTTTCTTTCAAATAAAGGCATATATACTTTTATTTTTCTCCTGTGGTTTTCTATATGTTGAGAGCTGTAATGCATTCATGGCAGTATGGGACACAATTTCTTGAATTTGCCCACAGAGAGGGATGTGCAACAGGGAGGTGATGTTGGTGCATGTCCTTGCTGTGTCAGAGGCTCTGGCAGCTTCACCAGTGGTTCCTGAGAGCTTGGCCAGGGCTGTGGAGAGTCAGCAGAGAATTTGGTTAAGGCACAGTGAAATTGCCAGTGGAGTGAAGTGAAAGACTGAATAGGGAAACAAGTTATCTGCTCTTCAGGCAGCCCCTTCAGTGAAGGGGCAAAATCTGCCTGCTGGCATTCGCTGTGTCTGGAAAGTAAATGAGCTGTGTGTCTTATAAAGATTTATGCAAATGAGTGCTCAAATTTAATAAAAAAGAGAAAAAAATCTTGAGGGAAATTATTGAAATCCAGTTACCTCAAAGGTTTTCTAGTGTTGATTGTAAAACAGAAACAGATTAAATGCAGGCTACATGTGTATTTCTCTGGTATAAGGTGTTGAAAGGACTGAGCTGGATCCATGTTACCAGTCTAGGCTCTCATATTTACAGAGATGGCACCTTGCAAAAGGAAAGTATGGGAAAAAAAGCCTGAAATTTCTATAATACTTTTTTAGTAGCAGACACTGTGTAAAGGCTGTAACTTAGATTCCAGATTATCACATGAAAGACAAGAACACATCTGTTTGATTCAATTCAGTCAATAGATGGGTCTCTCTTTTCATCTATTGGTCTGCATTGCTATAAAGAGTATAAAATAGGCTGCTGTTGTGGAATAGTATAATAAATATTCTCCCTATTTTAATCTCATTATAATAAAAACCTAATAAGACAGCAGCAATTAAAGAAGAAATTTGACTGAAAATTTAAGAGTAAATAACTCAAAGAGGTAGAACAAATAGTTTTTTCTGTATTTTTTTTCAGCATCACACTGTTTTTTTGCATACAATACAATGTTTGATGCAGCTGCTTATCTAGTCAGTTATTTTTAGCCCATTAGTAAGTAGTATTTTTCTTCCATGGTACCTTACCATTTTATCAGCAGCTGATTTGGACTTGCAAATCACTAGTCCTATTGATCAAAGGTGCTGAACTCCTACGGTTCCTATTGATTTCGGCAGGAGATGCAAATGTTCAGTGCCTCTGAAAATTGCATCCCATGTTCTTAGATTTAACTATCCCTGACTACAAAATGACTGTTTTATATACAAATGAATTCTGAAGTATGAATATGAAGTTGTCCCTATCCTCCATGATATTATCACAATTTATGAGTATGCACTGGAGATGGGCGTTGGGTCTTAAATTGTATTTATATGGAGGGTGAGGAAATTAAAACCTCTCTGCTGTCTGCCAGTGTGACCTGTCATTTCTTACACTGTGCTCAAGGTAGAGGAGTAATGGTTTCAACAGTGGGAAAGGTCAGGCCAAATTTTAAGGGTGTGTGTATCAGTTCATAGATTTATAATACTGGTTGCATAGGTTCATACAATAAAAAATGGTAGAAAAAATAGAAATCCTTAACTCTGAGTACTAGAAATTATGCAGTGAAGGCTCAAGGGGAAGATAAGGTGGTTTTATACTGAAGAGTATCATGGTATAGTTAACATTGCTAAATGTTTCAGGTATATGTAAAAGCTGTGGTGCAGATGTGCAACTCTGAAATGAAGTTGAACTCATTAGTGGGATAGCTCTCACTGAGACAGGTACCTCAGGATTTCAGAGCTGGAAGTTGTGGTGTCTGCTGTCCCTGAGGCTAGGTCTTACTGATGAACTTGGCATTGTCACAGATCTTTAAGT